GCAGTAGCAGTAGTAGTAGTAGTAGTAGTAGTAGTAGTAGTCATAGTGACAACAGCAGCAACAGCAGGAGTGGTAGTGGTAGTAGTGGTAGTAGTAGTAGTAGTAGTAGTAGTAGTAGTAGTCGTAGTAGTAGGAGCAGAGCAAGTAGTAGTAGTAGTAGTGGTGCACATACATATTCAGTAATAATGTCCAACCAAAGGATTGCCTACCTTGGCTTCAACCAGTTGCTTGCCAGTTGGGGTATCGAGTGCAGTTTCGAGTCTTGGGTTTGCATTCTTGGGTGTGCATGAGCGCACACCAGGGATCCACTTGCATCGCCAGGGGGTGCCACATCTCCGCCGTGCCCACGGCGAGCTCGCTGGTGCGCTCCAGCGTCGCAGGCGATCCCACTGCTGCACATGCGGAGATGGAGCTTCAGTGTCAGGAATGGGCGGACAGCCGACAAGGACTGGTGTTTGTTGTACTCGACACAAGCACAAGCGCTACCACTGCCGATGCCCTGCTTCCCCCTCCGAAAATGCGCATCGTGCTTCTCCCGCCCGCCGGCGGTCTCATGGTCACGTCAATGGTGTAAAGATGACAGAGCGATGCAACAGAGTAAGGTTTTATGTGCACTTCGATTTATGCGTTGTCTTGCTCAAAACTCATTACTGTGTTGAGGTGATCGGGATATATCGGAATCGGGATATGTGTGCCATTGCTGTATTTGTACGTTTCCTTGCATGTGCACGTGACTGCACATGCATTTCTGATTGTGTCCATCTGAAACCCCGTATGTATGCATGCGTTCTCACAGTTGTGATGGGTTACGTGTTGTCCATTAAAATTTCAATACCAGTAGCCAATACATAGGTGGGGTACCCTTAGCATCCTGCCTGAATTTATTCCTTATGTCTATTGGCCCCTCTTCGCTGCAGGGCTGCATGTTCGAAACTTACATCATGCTGCAGCATGCACCCTACTCTGAGCATTGAGGTGTAGGACGTTAATGGACCGTGCAGCCCGTGAGAACTGTCATGCATGATGACGAGATTTCCCGATTTTCCTGGAAGCGATAAAGCCTGCGCATGAGAAGGCACGACAGCTGTAACAAGCTTTCCGTGACATCTGAGCCCGGAAACTCTCGGCCGCCGTTTTCGCACCCGAAGGTTTGGGCCCCGCAGTGCAGCACTGGAGGAGGCAAGCTCGCTTTTTCCTCGCTTACATAATTCATGGACAAGCGAATGAGTACGTTGAAGCTGCCGCAGAGAGGCCGACGTTACTAAAGCAAATTGTATAGGAACTACAGCACTCACTCGCCGGATTATGAAACCACGGTCACACATTGGCATGAGTATTAGGTCACATCAGTTGACACCGTTGGTTTCGCGCCTGATTTTTCGACATTGTGTTGGCTGTGGTGCGCGGGTACTGTTGTGCTTTTGGGGTCGGTTAGTGTACTGTCTCACCCTCAGACCGTCGCCGCAATCCTTGCCTGGACATGTGCGGTCATCAGCGTCGAAAGTCCAAACCCCCAGCCTCCGAAGCTTGAAGCACGAACGCCAGGAAGCCCGAAGCATGTCCGAAGCAGAACGATGCACACTTAACAGTGCGTCGCTAATCCTTAATATTCTAGGTCCTCTATAGGTTAGAACACCTTGAAGACCTTGACTACCCCATGGACCTCAAACGCCCTCACTGGGCCTAACGTGGCCGCCAAGCCAAGCGCAAGTCATGCTCCACAAAGGAAATCTACCATCTGCAGAGTGAGCTGGAAGCGGCCCGGGGCCGAAAGTCTGGGTGTTTTGGATAAGTATAGACAAGCCAAGCAATAACTGATAGTCGACAGATACATGGTAAAGTACCGAGCAAGGACAGCAAGCGTGCACACATTGAGATAGCCAACCGGACAAAAAATTTTTCGCCACAACCAAAGTACGAAAGCATGCCATGGGCTGTCTGGACAAACGTCATCATCGCAATAGCATCATCTCAAAAGATAGTTGCAAGAGCAACCACCCGAGCCACATCTATACTGCAAACTCAGACAGAGAGTAAGGGTGGCGCGAGGATTTAGGCATTGCAGTGGAATGTAGCAATGCCAGGCACATGACAACGCGAGTTGGGTCAGGGTTTGTTTCAGATTCCTAGACCCGTCAAGCGACTGAAACTCCACACTCTACACAGGAGCCTTCAGAACGACGGCAAGTCATACTTCCATTGACTGCAAAATTGACCACATCCCAGACGACCCACCCTTCTCTGCTTGTATACATTGGCCCTTGTACTACAGGTACGGTCTCCGAGCCAGTGACTTGAGAACAAGTAAAAGAAACTGCCTGAGATCCGATCTTCAGCTGGTCAAAGATCGAAACGGGCACTGCAGCGTTTTGGCTTTCTTGGCAGCTGCAAGCCGCGCCTCGCTAAAGGCCGATGGGTTTCGAAGTGCAACTGCAGTACAAAGTGTAATATATGATGGCGATTGGGATTCGTTCTGACACTTGTTAGACTTCTCCTCGTTGCTGAAAGTCGTCCCCCGCTTTATTTTAGCCTGCTGCATAGTCTAGTCCACCTCTGTGGCCTTGCGTGAGTGCGAAATAGGGTCGCAGCATGCAGCCAGGACGAAGGGCCAAACTGCCATTCCGATCTTGTCTATTTTTGTACATGGCAGAAATTCCTGCGGAGAGAAGGACAGCCATAGCGGAAAAGCAGAAACATGCCAGTCGTCGTGATGATGCTGTTGTTGATAGTGGTTGTGATGTGAAGGGCGAGGATGACATTGACCGCAATCATGACAATCTGAGGTTGACAATGGTCACGATCGCCTTTATGGTGATGCTGAGAACGACAAGGATGGTGATGATGATGAATGATGGCAGTGGCGGCAAGGATAGTGCTACTTCAATGATTGGCATCATCGCCGTGGAAATGGTCGGGGACGAGGAAGGTGGCAACGACAGCCGTGATGACAAGGACGACGGTAACTCGTGCGGATGCCTATATCCATGACGATGTCGACCATGGTGACCATAGCGCCTGTGAGCTAATCCAACTCATCACCATAGCAAGACTCATGCATCAAGGCATTGAGTGCATGTGATCTTCTTGCGTGGCAAGTTTAGCTCTTCCTGATCTGTGGTTCACCATGTGTGTGCATCGTGTCTATATGCAACGTGGAGCTGCGGGGGTTGGGATTGCGACCGAGTCTCCCCTCTAGCATAGGGAGTGGGAAGGGTTTTCCGAGAGTGTCACGCATGTGCTTCTGGGCCAAACTATGCTTGAACAATCTAGTTTGTTCTCGAATCCGTGAGGTAGTCCCAGCGGATCCGATGGCTGTGGCGAACGAGACGGATTTGGAGGTTGCTCGCGAGGAGGCACAAGCCGGTCGTGAAGCCTAATGCCATCTCAGAAACTGCCCAGCTTCGAGAGTACTGTACAGACTTTGTTCATGCAGCTGTAGCCAGGAAGAACGTGATCCTGGCAGGTTGAAGCCAATGCCCAAAACTGCGTCAAGTTCGAAGAGCTGATGCTTTCCTGATTTGAGAAAAGAAATGGCCTTCTGTAGATGAAGGCCAAACAGGACAAAACGTATCGTCGTTACGGTATCGGTAGTAACCGGTACTAGAGGTAGTAGTATTATAGTAGTAGTAGTAGCAGTAGTAGTAGTAGTAGTAGTAGTAGCAGCAGCAGCAGCAGCAGTAGTAGTAGTAGTAGTAGCAGCAGCAGTAGTAGTAGTGGTGGTAGTGGTAGTAGTAGCAGTGGTAGTAGTAGTAGTAGTAGTAGTAGTAGGAGTAGTAGTAGTAGCAGCAGCAGCAGCAGTAGCGGTAGCCGTAGCAGTAGCCGTAGCCGTAGCCGTAGCCGTAGCAGTAGGAGTAGTAGTAGTAGGAGTAGTAGTAGTAGTAGTAGTAGCAGTAGTAGTAGTAGTAGTAGTAGTAAAGCGCGCCCCCAGACGCCTGGTAGTTTCCTGCTTCTTGATGGTTCTTCCGGGTCAGGGGGGGTGGAGGGGGGGTGGGGGGTGGGGGGGGGGGACATGTTAGCGTTCACACAGACGCAACCATGATGACGATGTCAATGGCAATGATGATGATGATGATGATCTAGCAGTCGCAAAACCGATATGATAGGTTTGGCAGGGCCCGAAACCTTCCCAAGAATCCTAAACCCCGAGTCCGAAAGCCTAAACCCGAAACTCTAAGCCCCAAACCTTCAGACCCCGTCCGCACCCGCATCGTGATCCTTCCCTGTGGCCACGGGTCCGAAGAGCAGCTTCTACGTGCTGCCGGCAAAGGCAGACGCAAGAGACTTGAAAGGTCCAGGTCTCCACCAAGGGATCGTTTAAGGGAACCTGCAAAGGACCCTGTAATAGGATCTATGAGCGTAGGATCACTAAAAGGGTATTATAGGGATCCACTCGGATTTTGTAGCGAGGAGGCCTTCTGCCATGGAGTCCTGGACAGTTTTTGAGAAAGGCCAAGCAATGCCCTCAAAGCTGCGTATGTATGCAGAGTACTAGCTTGCTGGTCTTTCTTGTCCGAAGAGCAAGCACCACCTTTACACACTAAGATGCCAACAATGAACCCCAAAACCACCCAAAATCAGCCCCAAATTAGTTGCGCAATTTCCTGCTTTTTTCGCGCTTGCGAAAATTACGCTAATCCCCTTAGTGGCGCGAGATGTGTGTCATAAAACGCCCAGGCGCCTCAGGGCGCGCTAGCCTAGTAGTAGTAGTAGTAGTAGTAGTAGTAGTAGTAGTAGTTTTTGTCACCCACTTGTAGTAGTAGTAGTAGTAGTAGTAGTAGTAGCACGAGTAGAGGCTGATGCGAAGAGTGGACAAAACGACTCGTCGTTTTGGTCAGGGTCCCGGGGGCAAAACGACCAGGGCGCTTTGGTCGTTTTGGTCTGCATTGCAGGAGAGGGAACACCGTGTCATTCTGGTCAGTTTGGTCACTTCGCCAGCCAGAAGCAAACACCACGTGTACGACTTGCACAAGTGCTGCAGGTGGTATAAGTGGCACAAGAAGTGCAAAACGACCAAAGCGACCGGTCTTTTTGACCCCCAACCAAAACGACCAACATGACTGGTCATTTTGCGCCCTGGCGCGAAAGCCGCTGACCAAAACGACGGTCATTTTGCCCCTCCCCAACACGACCAAACTGACCGAAACCACCCGTCGTGGCAGCAGTAGTAGAAGACGTAGTAGCATTAGCAGCAGCAGGAGTAGTAGCAGTAGTAGTAGTAGTAGTGGTGGTGGTGGTGGTGGTGGTGGTGGTGGAGGTGGTGGTGGTGGAGTACAAGTAGTCTTGTCACCCACTTCGCACGCCAACGACAGCTCTGCAGGGTCTTGACTACTGACGAGATCAGATCAGAAAGCTAGTCTTGGGTTTCAAAGCTATACAGCCAAGAAACAACACCAACAAAGTAGACAAGGTTACGAGGTTACGGTAAGACGTGCTCTCCGGGGAAAAACCGCTACAAGATGCCATGCTGTTCACTGCCCTCGTTTATGGGCTTCTCGCACCTGGTCGCAAACGGTGGCATGCTATGAATTCCAAACTTTGGTCACGTTGCCCACAAATCGCAATATCACAGCTCTAGTAGTAGTCGTCGTCGTCGTCGTCGTAGTAGTAGAGGCAGCAGCAGCAGCAGGAGGAGCAGGAGTGGTAGTAGCAGTGGTAGTAACAGTAGTAGTAGTAGTAGTAGTAGTAGTTGTTGTTGTTGTTGTAGTGATAGTAGTAGTAGTAGTCGTCGTCGTCGTCGTCGTCGTAGTAGTAGTCGTAGTGGTAGTGGTAGTAGTAGTAGTAGTAGTAGTAGTAGTAGTAGTAGAAGTAGTAGTAGTAGTAGTACTTGCAGCTAAAGTTGCTACTTTGAAAACAAATAGTTAATGATTGGGCC